AGCGGTCGCATTCTAGCTTTGTCAGTGGTTGCCCTGGATTCATGATAACGGTTGGAGACCAGCATACCCGGAAGTGTGCAGTAGAAGGGCTTCTCCCTCGTGTGGCTCCGCATGTGCGCCCGCAGCGCATAGCCTGATGCGTGCGGGATCCCCTTGCGATTGCAGTCGCTCCACTCGCAGCTGTACTTCTTCTGCCGCGCCTGGATGTGATCCTCGTGCAGATGCTCGACGAGATTGTCCATGTTGTCGAGGTCGCCGGCGTCGCAGCCGTCCCACTTGCAGACGGTGACCTGATCCTGGCCGTACTCGTCGTCCGCAGACATGCCCGGGTGGTGCGGCGACGCGGGGACGGAGCCATCTGTGTCTTCCGAGATCTCTCCCAGGTCGTCGGTCGGCGGCAGGTTCATCGTGGGCGGGTCTGAGGGTGCGCGATGGTTGAGGCGCGGGCGTTTGCTGGGGCGGCCGGAGGGCTCGTGGTCGGGCGTGTGCGAGCTCAGGCGGCGGCCCTTGACGTCCTCGGGGAAGTCGTCAGACGCATAGTCTGAGAGATCCGAGTTGGGCGACTCCATGGCGATTGCTTGAAGACTGGGGGCGGTGAAGCGTGGAGACGAGCGCTGGACGGATGCGAGTGACAGGTTGTCGTTCGCGACCGCGCTGGAGGAGACGTGAGCTGCACGGGCCAAGCTAGCGCACCTTTCCTCTTGACATTTTTAATAGGCGGCTTACGGCTCCTGTTCCTACACCTCCACCCTTGCTTACGAGGCCATGCGACGCAATTTACCATGACGTTGCGTGAGGCATCTGCTGGTATGTAAAGTCTCTTTCTTCTTACACGTTCTGTGATGAATTATTGAGTTCTGCAATACCAACAGTTTCTACTTTGGAAGCTGGATGCGGAGTACTCATACACTACAATTGATCTGATCTCAGGCAACGTCGGTTCACGATTGATTCAGTTCTTTATGAGAAGCAAGGCTAATACGATAACAATCCATTCAGGCTTCTAGAACGACCTCCTCACGCGTACTCTAAGCATGGGACAGATGCGCAATGAAGTCGGGATACCGTCCACCAACCGGCGTAAAGTTCTGCAAAATCTTGCCTAGAGCAGCCAGGTCGTCGCTATCCAGCTGCGCGGCCTGCATGTTCTCCTTGATTCGCTCGGGCGTTGTTGCTCCCGGGATGGGAATGAGGTCCCCAAACCCGTTGTTCCGGCTTTGGGCAAGCACCCATCCCACCGCAATCTGCGCTGGCGTGACACCCTTCTTCTGCGCAATCTTCTCGACTTGCTCGACCAGCTTCACGTTCTCGGGAAATGATTCAGGTGTGAAGCGAGGCCAACCGCGCAGAGGAGAATCTTCGGGTAGGTCGTCGAGAGTCTTCCAGTGGCCAGTCTACGATATCATCAGCACTATTCCGACGACAATAGGAATGGAAGAGACTAACCAGTAATCCGCGCCCCAGAGGTGAATAAGCAATGACGGGAATGCCCAGTTCGGCGCATGTCGTCGCGATTCCATTCTCCAATGGCTCGGTTGCCCAGAGAGATATCTCGACCTCTACTGCTGAAATTGGGTGCACCTTATGCGCCCTGCGGATAGACTTTGCACTGACTTCAGACAAACTGATGCCGCCCAGCTTGCCCTCCTTGACGTATTCCGCGATGTAGCTGATGGTGTCCTCGATCCGCGTATTGGGGTCTACGCGCGCGCACTCGAACAAGTCCAGGGACTTCTTGCCGTCCAACAATTTCAAGCACTCGTCTATGCTTCGTCGGACGTTCTCCCTGCTTCCATCGGGTGCCACTTGGCCAGGCTTGGCTCCGCCCTTGATGCTGAGAACCACCTTGTCGGCATCTTCGGGATACTTGGTAAAGTATTGGTTCAAGAGGTGCAGAGAGTTGTACTCCGGAGTGCCGTAGAATTCTCCACCGTTCCAGGCGTTGGCGCCAAGCGAGAGGGCCGTCTTCATCGCTTCAATGGACTTTTCCGCCGGCTGCGGCTTTGCGCGCCAGGTAAGGCCTGGACCTGTTACCAACGCTCGAACTGCATCAAGAGATATGGCAACCTACCCATAAGTCCAAAGCCAATCGGCCCAACTTCCTTTCCTACAAGCTTAGGCATGGCGTTGTTTTGGATGGTGATGTTGTTTGGTGGCGGGTGAACGGTAGGTGCAGTGCAGTCTGGGAACAAACTGGAATATAACCGAGGAGCTCTGTGCTGCAATGATACCTCACTTGACCGTTCCAAAGCCTTTTATATCTGCAAAAATTTTCACCTCTGCTTCACTTACGTCGGGACCAGAGCTCTATCCGCCAAAAAGCGCCTGGCCTAGTACGTCAGGACTGGGAAGCTCGCCGGCAACAAGCGATTAACTCCGCAAGCCAATCAAGCGGCTTTCCAGCGACGCAGAGCCGCGTCGAGGACCAACAGAGCACGCGTTCAAGCTCGACCTAGTCTTGCTGTAGTACCATCCGCCCTGATCGTCAAGGCTTGAGGATTAGGGCGATTCCATAACCCTAGGCGGCCTCGAGTATCTCGTTTACCTAAAATGCTTACCTCGTTTACCTGAAATGTCACTAGCTCTCAGCTCCTCAATCTGATTGGTTGAACGGCGCGGAGTTAGAGATGACTTCTCTCGTCCGCTATGCATCAGCCCAATTTGATACTGCGTTTGTGGCTACACTTTCTCATCCGCTACCCACGGTTCGTACCTTGCTTTCAAGTGTCGGAGTTTGGACTTTAGAGGTTTGAAGTATGGGCTCATCGGGTGCTTGAGACCTAGTTGCTTCTTCGTGCATACTGTACAGAACGGAGTTGCTTCGCTCCGAGTCGCGAGATTGCTGCTTTCAATTGTACTACTTGCTGTACAATCGTACAGCGGGACCCGTGGCTTCCTCATTCGGCTATTTACCTAGTCCTCCTAGGTGGTACTACCTTCCTTCTATCATCTTGCCAAGCATGGCATACAACTCTCACCTCACCTCTCCTTCTTCAAATCCGTCTCCATTCCTCCTCCTTCTCCTTCCAGGTTTCTCAACACCGCACGTACCGGCCACACGAATCCTTCCTCGACGCGATTCGGTTTTCCTTCTTCCATTGTCACCAGGTACTCGACCAACGCCATGCCTACATAGGCTCCGATGCCAGTGAATATGTGCCACCAGCCGTGCAGTTCTAAGAAGAAGCCCCAGGGAAGGCCGAGGGACCGCTTGGTGGATGTCACGTAGCTGCAGAGGTGGTAGTCGATGTTCCAGAGGAAGTAGCCGAAGAGACCGCAACCTGAATCCAATGGACAACATCAGCCCTGTCGACGAACACACCGAGGGACGAATCGAAAAACAAATCATGATAATGGTAGGAACAAAGCAAAGTAAGCACGACTCACCAGACCCAAAGTTTGCCATCCCCTTCAACTTTTTTCGCGACGCCTCGCTCGCTACCTTTTCGCGGATGAGCTGCCGTATGCGCCGTCCGGTTATGATGACCATGGCTGCGAATGCGATCTCGTGCACGTAGATCTCGTCGGCCCAGCAGTGGTAGATGGAGACGGGGATTACAGTGCCCACGATCAGGAGCGTGGTGTTGAGGCGTTGCGAGGGGGTGGCGTCGAAGGTTAGGAGTTGGTGCATTAGGGTGCCAACAGCAAGAAACATGGACAGATCGTCGGCTGGGGGTTGTTAGTCAGAGCTAGGACATGTTTAGACATTAGGAAGGGTAGGGATGAGGGGTGGTGCGGGACTTGGATAGCAGAGGGGGATGGGGGATGGGGAATGTGAAAGTCCGAATGTCCGGATGGGACAGTTTGAGAGACTGGGTAAACAATGCGAAAGAGATGACAGAGAGCTCGCGAGGATAATGTGAAGGATGATATGGTCAACCGTGCATCAAGGAAAGAGCAGTCTGTACCCATTTGACTGTGATAATTCAGCGTCATGTGATACCATCCAGACAGCACTCCCACGCCAACAAGACCCCAATACGGAAAGCTCAGCGTCGAGAAGATGCCACCATCGGCACGTTGTGCAACTCGTCGGATGCCGTGCGCACCGTATATGACTGTGTACCAACATAGTCAGCGTCTTTTCTACAGTGAAGAAGCTGTGTCCAACGCATTGCATAAACTTACTGTAAGTGAGATTGGTCAAGGTGTTGATGAATTCGGCGATGTATGTTGTGATGATATAATCCTGTGAAACGTTGCATAAGCCCTCCATCAACCTGTAGTGACACAGTGTGATGTATACCTCTTCGCAAAAACTGGAAATCAATCAGTATCAAGACTCTGCCAGACCGCGCGCAGCTTCCGACCAGGACTCACTTGTGATTGGAGCTCGGCGTGCCCCATGCCCCTGTGCCCGGGCTGTCCCCGTACGGTATTCTCAGAAAAGACATCAGGAGGTGGAGCAATATTTTTGTAGGAAGATGGGGGATAGCGAGAGGGTTTTGTGTACGGTTCGTAAGTATGATGATGTTTGGTGAAGACTGGGATAGGAGCCTGCTCTGGGTCTGGCTGGGAAGCTTTGACCAATTGGATAAGAGAAACACGTGTTAGGGGCTAGTCCCGTTTTGGGAGGCCTACGGGTTTGGGGGGCAATGACGAACCTTGGAATGGTCAAGCTGGAGAGCAAACAATTTGTCTCGCTCTTTTCGGGTATAGTGCTGTCCCCAGAGGTAAGGAGAGGCCGGTTTGGGGAGGCGGAGTAGCTGACGCTGCGCTGAATGCATGCTGGATAGAACTAGATCATGGAGCTGTCTGTCCCGTACAACAACACTTTTCACTAAAGCCATTGCTGATTATATATAGGGCATGGGTTGATTAGGAAGCTGAATACCTACAAAAAAGAGAGAACGGAGATGTTACTTCATTCGCCTTGGGTAAATAATGGTGCGGTTCTATAGAACGTGTCACGCTTGCTGGCCTCCAGCTCTTGCCACACAATATTTCCTTAGCACATCCCAGGAGCAAAACAATAACGACAGCAAAAGAAAGGCATTCAGGGGGCTAGCCAGGGATTGAACCTGGGACCACCCGCAGATAAGTCTTCACAAGACCCTAAGCGGGTATCCTACCACTAGACCACTAGCCCGTATATGCTATTCATGGATGTATTCTCAAGTAATCGCATATATATAGGTCTGTAGTCTCCCGCAAAGCAGAATGGGGAGAAGGAACGATGACAGTCACCAGGTTTGTGTGACTGTGTTTGTGAGCTGTGACTGTTAGTCAATGGGCGGGGCTGTATGTAGTGTGCCGGCGGTGAGGAACTCTAGGGGTAGACCCATGAGCTTCATCTGATCTCAGCGTGAACCTAGGTATTGATTCATTGTAGGAATCGTATTTAGACTTTTGAGACACCTTCATCAACGAACAGTCCTGTTTTATCTACATCTGCTGAACTAAAAATGGGGAATGGTCAGGGTCATCGAAGTAATGACGTGCTTAGCTCTCTTTGCCTAAGTAAGGGGGAGGTTCAATGGCTATGCTGCCGCATCTGTTCTGAGATCTCGGACCGTTCGATTCATGACAGGACGTCCAAGAAAAGTCTATAGATGATAAGTTTCGAGCACTTCTGAAGTTCGGTCGAGTTGACATGCCAATCGAATGCTACAAAGGCGTCAGAATCCGTGTATCTCGAGGGGACAGAGCTCTACCGTGTTGTCATCTCGGCTTGGTGGATGCAGTGGACATACATAATCTCTACAATGCTCTGATCTTTCACTGACGCTTTCGGCTAATCGCTTTTCTCCCTGCGAGATGTCCAATCGTACTCTATGATGGTCTAATTCACTAATCTCATGCTGTACATGTTTCCTGTGGGTGGCGTCTCAGGCCATGGAAGAAAGCAAATACGTTGAAAATGATGCTGAACTTCTACAGATAGTGAATTTACACCATCAAGTCTCCGCCGCGATCTGATTCCAGATACAAGGCAGATGAGCTGAGATTTTGGCTAATCTGTTCTTCTCTGCACGAGGCGGTACAGGATAACGTACTCCCCAGCATTTACGACATGAAGCAATTCCCAAGTGGAAAGTGCTGACTCTCCAAATACATGGCGTATTGAGTGGCCTTATCGAAATCGGTCCAATGAAGGTAAGGTCGCTTAAATCGCTGATAGACTCCAAGGGCATTTCCTACGCCGCAATGAACAGTCTGATGTGCAGTCTTACCGCGCTGGGGAGCCAGGGAAAATCGGTATCAAAGCCGCTTCTCGACCGTCTCGAAGGATGCTGACATGCATACAGGGCTGAAAGCCCCTAATGTACCCCTCCCGAAGCTCGGTTATAGGCCCCACATTCCTCGATGGGTAGAGTGAGCAACGAACTACGGCTCCAGGTTTCTAAACGAATATGCCATATCCAAAGAGACGGCGATTATCGGGGCAAAGGGCACATTAACTCTTGGAGCACACTGCCTTGATGAACCTTGGAATGTCAGATCGCACAGATTGTATCTGATTGGATTCTTACCGGGAGATATCAGTACCGAGATTCCTAGATTGATGTATCGTTCCTAGACGCACCACGTTGATTGTTTAAGCGCGCTTCTCATCTCGGGCGTGCAGACTCGCAGCATCATCCTGAAGTCGGTGAATCGACGTATATTGAAAAGCAAAGGTACGAAACGCCCCAATCTTACGCCCGAGTTCTGTGCTGGTGGATTCCAACACGCTGTTGTTGCTCACAATCGGAGGTGCTTCGTGCGGACGTTTGCTGATTTGGCGCGCCGCTCTCGCGATTGAGGATTTACCCGCATGAACATCAATGGACCAAAATTAGAGCTCCGATCGCCAGCGGGCCGGAGCCGAAGCAGGGACAGCAGCTTTGCCCCTTCTGGGAGCTTGCCCGTTCTTACCGATGACTCGGCATTTGTGTTTACAACTCTTTGCAAGGATATAACCGCAGCGCCTGCTGAGAGTGGACTGAGGAGCACCGCAGGGTTGAGATGCACGTCTAATTATTGATGAGCTCGGCCCTGTCAGGAACGGTTCGGCGTTACTGAACAGGGATCGATGCGCAATGGCGGCATGGCAAAAGAAGCTCTTAAGCAGAGCTCCCCTCAAGCTGGCGATCTTCTAGAGGGCCCTCTAGTAGTGGACCAAGCTCCTCTCTTCAATCTTTCATCGCTCTAGACAAAGATGGGTCGGACGTCCTTGTTCGTTTCGTTGCTTTCGGTGGCCAATTGTGTCTTGGGTGCAGGTTGGATTGGTGAAGTCAAGCAGGAAAATGGGGTGACTTACCAATGCAAATGCTACTCGGACAATGCTTGCTGGCCCACGGGAGCTGACTGGACCGCTTTGAACACCACTGTCCAAGGCGCCTTGAAGGTTGCTTTACCTCCAGGTGCGGTATGCCACAATTCGATAGGTAACACTTCGACGTCTACATACAACGCGGCGGCATGTGCAAACGTTCAGGCGAACTGGCTCAATGAGCAATGGCTGTAAGCTTCATTAGAAAGTTTAATAGCGCCGGATCATAGCTGACCCACTTCCCAGTACTGATGATCCTATTCTGGCTCTCTGGCCGTTGTATACGAACAACACATGTCTGCCCACTTCGGACCCAAACACCCCTTGCACGCGGGGGTTCTATGGTAACTATGTCATCTTGGCGACCAACAAAGCGCAGATCAAGGCCGGAGTTGACTTCGCGAGGACGCACAACCTGCGTTTGATCATGTAAGTGCTGCCTTTTCGGCTTTGCTTTTCAGCTCTGCAACAGGCTAACACAATTCCAGCCGTAACACTGGACACGACTTCATGGGCCGCTCCGTAGGTTATGGATCTTTGATCATCAACACCCATAGCTTCCAGGATGCCACTTTCACGAAGAAGTACACCGGCCCAGGCAATTGGACAGGTAGCGCGGCAACGGTTGGTGCCGGTGTTCAAGGCCGAGCTTTATACCGCAAATGCTTTGCGCAGAGCCCTCCGGTGGTCATTGTTGGAGGCGAATGTCCTACAGTCGGATGGGGAGGTGGTTATATCCAGGGAGGAGGCCACGGGCCTCTCAGCAGCATCTATGGCATGGGTGCCGACAGTAAGTCATTGTCTCAATCAGCATACTGACTATAGAGCACTGAGCTGACGAAATCCATCAGGCATTCTCTCTTTTGAGGCGATCACTGCTGCGGGTGAGTACGTGACGGCTAACGCTGTCGAGAATCCCGACCTTTTCTGGGCGCTCAAAGGCGGTGGTCCTTCCACTTTCGCTGTTGTCACGGAGCTCACCGTCAAGACATACCCCGAGGTCCCCACTGCAGGCATGACCATTAATATCAACTCGACTCACACCAATGATACCGCCGTGTTCAACAAAGGTTTCCACATTTTCCATAACCTGGCCAACCATTACACTGCGAATGGCATGTTCGTGTATTTCGAGTTGGGACCCGGACCTGGCCGCCTCCATATTGCTCCGTTGGTTGGCCCCAACATGAACGAGACTAAGCTCAGGCAAGTCTTGAAGCCTCTGATTGATGGCCTTGATGCCGCCAAGATCCCGTACGACACGCACACAAGGGCGTTCCCGACATTCTTCGAATTTTATATCGACATGTTCGAGGATGAACAACCAAATCAAAACAGCGTCGTTGGCGGTCGCATTTTCACGCAAAAGGACATTGCAGAAAACGCAGACGCTGTTGCGGATTCACTCATATTCGCCACTCAGCCGTCGGCCGAGCAACTGGGCTTCAACGTCGGACACCTTCTGAATCCAGGTTTTGGCGTCCCAGCAGCAGACAACGCGATCAACAACAAGTGGAGGAACGCGAGTAGCTTCGTGATTACCAATGTTATCCTGAACGGGGACGAGAGCTGGGAGGTCAAGCAGCAGAAGCATGACGTGCAGACCAACGTTGTTGGTAAGAAACTGAGGGAGGCTGGTCCAGATGGTGCTACTTATGTGAACGAGGTAAGACTGCGAAGTGCTTAATGATTAAGGAAGACGCTTACAATGAGGATAGGGCGACCTTTATGAGCCAAACTGGCAGGAGTCATACTGGGGTGACAAGTACCCTAAGCTGCTTGAGCTGCGGAAGAAGTGGGATCCTGCGGGAGTGTTCTACACGCAGACGACTCCTGGTACTGAGAACTGGGAGGTCATTGACTACGGCACGAAGCTGTGCAAAAAGAGCTCGTGAGGGTGAAGGAGAGCGCATTGGCATCGATGGAAGTCTCGCTGGATAGGTCCATTTGTAGATAGAATGGAAATGAATCTTGTCAAGCCAAATTAGTGACGTGTAGGGTTGTTTGGTGAGAAGATACCCAGGTAGCGCCGACGCGTGAACTCTTTCGGGGAGGTCTGATGACATCGCGTTACGTGCCTAGGTGTGGCTTGGGAAGCTCTGTGGTCCAATGCGGACTAGCGTAAGCCGGGGTATGGACTGGTCGGACCTTCACAAGCTAATCGATAACTTCCCATCAGCTTTCTCACCTCCGACTACCAGATCCCTAGCCCAACCCTGTGTTTGCCTACCTTTTCGTCTATATAACGCTTATTTGCGGCTTCACGCTTCGATCCTCGTCAGGCCACTACCTCTCTCTTGATGCAGAACGTCGGCTACAGCGCTCATTCTTGGCTATCTCCGCAACGCCTCACCCCCGAGCCTCCGCAGCAGGCACCCGCTTGCGACTGCGCGTACAGGCGCATACGGCAGCGCCTTGTCCAGACGAGACTGCAAGGTCACGCGACCTGTGCCTGCTGAACCTCCCCCATCCCTCATCAATGTCGATTGAATGCCGCCGGTCCTCAATCCCTTCTTACGGGCTTTCTTCCGTAGCACTCTGCCGAGCCAGTGCTCGCCTGTCCATCACCACGTACGACGTCTGCGCCCATTCCCCATGGCTCCTTTGCTGACTGCATGGCTGCTATAGATATTGCTAGTACCCACCACCGAAGTCCTCCTCACATCCCGCGACCGCGACACCAACGCCTCGTATGCCGACCTGAGTGGCTCCGAGGAGTTTCTGGCAAGCCATGTTCTGCGCATCCCGGGCGGGGTTGGCCCAAACAACCAGGTCAAAGATGCGACCAACTTCCGCGAGAATCGGGGCAAAGCAAAGCAGTACTCGACAGCGAA